TTTTTTTTTTATAAATAAATGAAATACATACATCTGCCTATATCTCTAAAAAAAATATGTATCAAATGTAATGAAATATTTCACAGAAACGAGATGGAATATCTTCTAAGCAGTTATAAAAAAATGAAAATCCGAAAGCTACAGTTGCATTGACGAGTTTGGTCGTTCTAAATATTAAAGACGCGAAAAATTAATTGTCGATTAAAAATAGAAAAAAAAAAATAAAAAGAATAAGATAACGATATGGAATAAAATCTGTATCAGAATCGGAACGGTGCTCGTACAATAGTAAAATGTGGTGACGTTTTATTAATAGGATGATAAGCATACTAACTCGATGCGATCGCATGCTAACGCTTGCGTGCGTAAACGCAAACGGTATTTCCATTTGCCTGTATGCAAGGTAATTGCACGATTAGGCTTGTTTCTATGAATAACAAATCGCCGCCATTTAATAACTGTATTGAATGTAAAATCCGTCCGCGGTGACATAATCCATTGCGAATAACGCGCGAAGGTAAGCGTTACCGGTTGATCGAGGAACGACGTTCATCTTTCTGCGTTTGTCTTCTTTCTTCCTCTTTTTCATTGTTTCCTTATTCCTCCGTTCGATGATAACACGGTTGCACGATTTTCAAATTAATAAAAAACGCGTGTAATTTGATAAAGATAAGGGGCAATTAAGCGAGTTAATTTTTTCTTTTCTTTTTTTCCTTTTTTTTTTGCTATCTTACATCGAAATTACTGGAATTGCGAAAATAGAAGATGGGGAACAAGATAGGAAATGTAGCAACGTGTGTGGCTCTCTGTGCAATTCTTACGCGTTGTATAATTCCTAGAAATTATTGTATAACGTTGATGAACAAATGTGATTACTGCGAGTAATATAGTAGTACATTTTCTAAAACGCGCGTGGCATCTTCTTAGTTGGTTACATTTTTGCAAGGAATTTTTTTCTTTTTTTTTTTTTTTTTTCTTATCGCTTATATTAGAATCTACCGTAACAATGGGAAATTTCGTAATCGTGGCCAATAGAGCACGTCAACTGTACGCAGAATTCGTCTTGGTTACTTTCATCACGCACCGTTGACTTATCAAAATCGCATTAATTACATCTACGCATAACGCAACACGGAGTGGCATGCTTCGAAAGTGCCTGCAATTATCTCGATATCGCGCAACGTACGTGGTTGAACATGTAAATTCATGGTAGATCAGCCGTCACGATTGCAATTATACCAGAACGAACAATTCTTTTTTCGATTAGAAACGACAGAGATTTTCATCTCGTGGGTTGTATTAGGGATGATATATTTGTTTAATAGTATTTAGTTGCAGAATATTCCTACTTACAACTAGAATCATTACAATTGACTATTATATAATTAATTATATATTAATAATTATTATATAATTATTATATAATTGGAAGTATCGACGATTGAAATTGAGAAACTCCGAAGAAGTTCATGTGTAAGAAATAAGAAGACGTTTGTAATATAATATAATATTCCTCGTACTTGGATATTTCTCCGTTGTTTCTTGAAATTTTCTGGAGTCTATGTCGACAAACGTGTTGTTCAGTATAGAAGGAACTGTAATAATAGTTTTGTAACTATATGTATAGATTCGGAATCATATATTTTTAATCGATATCAGCCTACATATATTACATAGAGCATATTAATTTAGAAGATATTTTGCAAAAGATTTATCGCATAAAAGACATGTTGTCCTTGTTTTTCATGCAATTAAAGTATCTTCTAAACTAATTTACGTAAGTTAATATTCTTTTTTTTTTTTTGTTTTTAAAGAACATCGAGCTGCATTGATTGATATATGTAATAAAAATATATGATGCCATTAAAGAAAATTAAATTCTATGAACTACAAAAAGAATTATTACGTAGTTCGTTCTACGTTAAACAATTTTTGTTAATAAAACTTTTTCATACCTTCAGAAACAACACTACATTTCCGTCGTTTGGAAAAATTGAAACTGTTGTAGTTTCGCAAAAAGAAATCGATTAATTAACCAGCAATTAATAGGCTCATTTTAAAGCTAGTACTTTCAAAATGTATCGCTCATTTTGTTCTAAGATGTTTTTACACTACGTATATCAGGTAGAAGACACTTTTTCTTTAATAATTATTTTCACGACTGAATTTGAAGATTGAAGCCTTCACAACGGGAAATAAGTGATAGTTTAATAAAACGAATGTTTATTTTATTCTAATATAGCGTAGATAGAAAATACACACACGTAGTTCTTCGCACTAGAACTACCAACGAGATTGTTCCATAAAATTTCTATCAGAGACATTAAAGTAAAATAAAAAAAGAAAAAAAAAAAGAAAAAAATGGAGAAATTTTACAATACAATTTCACAATGGGATATACCAGATTTTATTTATACACTTTATGGGAAAAATCATTAAAGTCTCTAAAAATTTGCTAAAATATCCAACGAAAGTTAGGAACATGGTCAACAAAATCAGAAAATTAGAATTGATCGTTCGGACTGTTTTGTTTGGTAGTTCCAGTGTTAAATCAAACGACGAGAGAACATTTGGATAGAACATAGTTGAATTTCGAAATTTTCCTCTCTTGTGGAAGATAGAGGTGTAATTCTATTTTGTGATCTAACGCGCAGCTACAAGAATAGCTACGTGCATATCACGTTGCAACGATCAGCGAAGAAAAACAATTTTTACGGGAGGGAAAAAAAAGAAGAACCGTTTATTTCCCGCGCGTTAATTCACATGTAATATTTTTTTTTTCTTCCTATTTTCATTACGGAAACGTTTATCGTAATCGCGATTGACAAGATGAAGGACAAGAGATTGGTAGCTGGTGAGCTGATGACGCGTTGCAGGAAGATAAATGATTGATTAACATGTGCAAGATTCTTCCATAAACATTCTGATTTGCTTAGAATTGAAAAGTATTAAATATATATATATATGTATATACATCTGTGTTTATATAATATTATAAATTAATTAATTATAACATTATGTATTTATACGATATTACAAACGAATGAAAACACTGGGAAAAGATACAAATCGGATGTTTTCTTTTCGATCGATGGTTTTTAGATAATTCAGTTTGTCTTTTGCAATTTGCAAGAAACCAAGGTTTCAACGAATGAGAGCGTAACGACGGAAAATTATTTTAATACACACCTGGTGAGACAAAGAATTATAAGTCAACGGGGAATGGAACGTTGTCTATCCGGTTTCTATTAACGATCTAACAGAATTCCCTCAGAAATAAACATGCATACACGACTTGCGAGCGTGAAGTACTCCGCAGATGAGCTGCGCACAAATCATTCAAAAGTGAAAAGGAAGTTTTTGCGAATTTTAACTAAATTGAAAATTGTTGCAATTACCTAAAAGTTCAAGTAAATTCAATAATTCAATCTAATATTGATGTCATTTTTTTTTTAAACCTTTAATTAGTAAACAAACAGTCTTTTATTATTCATTCTAAGCGGGTTTTCCTTATGCATTCGCAGCGACTTTGAATAATTTTGGAAATATGTGAAGTATGAGTGAAAACAATTCACTTTTTATAACATTTAGTAACATAATATATTTGTAATATTTTGCAACAAATTTTTACGTAGATTCCATTTCTTTAATTATGTCAGTAATAATATGAAATTGCATAAAAATCCGCCGTCTAATTCTAGGATTATCTATACGATATTTATCACTTATCACAATATCTAACACTTAAATACTCAACAGTCCAACTCGAAGATCCCAAACTGTTAACCCCATTAGGAACCAGGATTGTGTTAATTAATACAACATTTTAGTCAATTTCAAACAAAATTATTTTCAACCAATTTATGTTATTAAATTCTATAATTATTCAGTAATTTATTAATCAATAGTCATAGCTATGGTCGTTAGTACCAGTGATTACAGTATTACAGTATTATACTTATCAGTAATTATAATTATTTAGTAATTAATTTTAAGGTTTGGAGTTGATTTCATTTGGAGTCAATATTAATTTATCATGTTGTAATTATTTACAATTAGTTATCACTGGACTGCAGATTTTTATATAAATTCATATTTCCTCTGAATGAAATTTAATATAGAAAAGAGGAACTAAATGGAAAATTACTTTCTCTATTAATTTATTAATCAGAGTATTTTATATCCCTTTGCATTCTGTGTATTTTTACATCTTAAAGTTTCTTATAAACTCAGCATAAAAATCCGTAATCACTGGTGAGATTATTTTATTATTCTAGACAGTTTATTATTTTAATTACTATTGTCATCAATCATGCTCACGGTCGTTAATACGAGTGTTATACAATTATATAGTATCGTAATTATTAGTTGACAGTTATCAGTCAATTCAACGAAATAATGCAATAATAAAAAAAAAAAAAAATCGACGAAAAGCATCAACTCCATTTAAAGCATTATGAGCACGATTAAGATAGAGATAAAAAGTTGAATAGCCTAAACGATAAAATCTAATCGAGCGTTGTAAATATAATACAATGTAGTAACCCTATAACAAATATAACAAAGTTCTTATCTTCGATCATTAAGTTATGCTTTTGACTTTCATCGTAAAATAGAAAGAATAGAAAAAAGAGAAAAGATATGCAGAGAACGCTGCATTCATACCAAGAAGGAAATTACTACATTCGATCCGTATGGTAATTTACTTCTTGCCCCGTCATTTTCTTCCTGAAACTCTGATCGACCGATCACGTGCGCGATATTTACGATCGTGTTAATTATTCTTAACCATAGACGCGCGATCGGTGTACAGTCGTGAGGTTTTTGTCCCTGTGATTCAGACGTCAATTTAGAAAGTCCATTGTTGCGGTAACACCGATCGCGAAGTGCAGAAGAAATTAGGAAAAAGAGAGAAAGAAATCCTATTGTGTTGTTATTAATGGATGATACGCGAGTTGCGGGACAATTGATCAACGTGACTACCGTTTGCTCGTGAAAGATCGCGACTGGCAGATGAATAATGAAAAATCGATCAACGATTTCAATTGAAGCTGGCATTGTCGAGATTTATGACTTTAGTATCGATGCGATAATGCATACGCAGCAAAAAGTTGCCTAGCGTTTATATATATTTATTTATACGTAATAATAATATGTACGATACGATTTTGTTATTATTTTACGTTTCAATAATTTTAACTTCAAATTTAAATTCAATATACATACATTGAACTAATTAATTTAACTTATGACGGATGAAAATTAATTTTTGCAATGTAGTGATGAAATTGGATTTTAAACTTAAATTTTATGGCGTAATAAAATAAGTCCGGTTTGGAAAATACTTGGAAACAGTATTTCCTGGTATTTTTAACAGTGTGCCATCGAATTTCGTTGAGTTATATTTAAATATATTAATAATGTAAGTTTCGCCATTTTGATCCTTCGTTTGGTTTCCCAACAAGATGATTGATAAATAATTTCCTTGGCTCGTAGTCGAAGTACTAGCAAAAAAGTGGATTACGTATTTCCATTTGCTTTCTACAAATTTCTCAACTTTAATGATTATGCAGTTAGTTATTGCACAACATTCTCAGAAATGAAACGATTAATTAACTTCGTTGCTTATTGCAAAACGTGATTTCAAATGTACAAATCTGCAGGACTAGTACTGCAACAAATTCAACGACTGTTTGAAAGATATCTATAAAGATATTGAATGTGAATATTTCAAGGAATATTACGCAAGTGATAGAGTTCTCTTTGTGACAGGGCAAATATTAACAAAAAATTGTTGATCTTATACACTAGTATATTCGATGCAATGCACTTTGTGATTTAATTATACTTATTAATTTCTAGTTTACTATCGTTTCGAGAAGAAAGTATCTTCACTCGCCATTTATATAACGCGAAGTCATCTTTCAAAAAGAAAAAAAAAAAAAAACGAATTCATAATTGCGAAAATAGACATAGTTCTACGCTTTAGAATGAGATCAAGTGGATTGTCATCTGATTTTCTTTTACAAACTTTTATAACAGTTAAAAAAAAAAATCATCGACAATTTTCGTGTCTTTGAATTTTTGAATTTTCAAACTTTTGAATTGGTTCAATTATGTTGTTCAGTGTGTATGCCAGAAACACCTGTACAGCATGAAATTTTATAAGAAAAATGTGTCATCGAGGGTTCAGTTTTCGATAAAAATTTTTTTCAATTGCAATTGATAATTGTTTCTAAGGTTAATTAAGCGTGTAAATGTATGTATGCGTGATTACCTGGAGTCTTCGAGAAGTAGTATAGTGTTGGTTGAATTGATGTGCTTCAGGTGTTCCTCGAGGCGTCCTTCACTGACAACTAGAACAGTCGCGTTCACCGATTTGCTGAAGAATCCGTCTTCCGGCGCTCCAATATGCACGATGTGCGACGTTAAATCTGAAATTTATTCGCTATTGAAATTTTCGAGTTTCTTCGAGCCTTGAGATTTTCGAGTTTTCAGATCGTCAGACTTTTAAATTTTCTCGAGTTCCAACATTGGATTTTCGAACTTCAGAGTTTTCGAAGATTCGAAGGTTTGAGATTCTTGAACATTCGAAT